CTTTAAATGAAACTATTTTACCTGGTTGTGGAGAAATATAAGCTGATCTTAGATTAAGTAAATATTCCTTTCTCCACCTGTTCCAGAAGTGATTCAAAAGTGTTTGCTGATATTTATATTTCTTTACCAAAGAATTCCTATTAACATTTAAATTTTCATTTTTATGTTTTATTACAGGTAAAGACACCAATCTTTTACCAATAAGAAAATGAGATGGGGTGAGTGGAGAGGGTTCTGAGGGTTCGTTGTACAGATACGTGATAGGCCTGGAATTAACCAGAGCTTCAATTTCCGAAAAAACAGTTTCCAATTCCTTCAAAGATAGAGAGGATCGTCCAACAATTTTCTTTAAGCAGGTTTTAACCGTTCCGTATCTGTCTCTCCCAGAAACCTCCCCACCATGGACTTTTTTCAACTATAAAATTCCAAACTATACCTTTAGAAGCAAACAAATTTTTAACTTGATCATTATCTATCTGATTCCACCATTTTTTCAATTCACTATTTGCTTTTTTAAAAGCTTTGGCGTTATCAGAATATATAGTGGAACATAATCCTCGACGAGAAACAAATCGTCGGAATCCTAACAAAAAAGAATCAGCACTTATGTTAAGAACTACTTCTAAGTGGATAGCTCTTGTCACTGCACAGCTGAATATAAGTAAATAACACTTTGAATTAAAATCACGAACAAAAAATGGTCCGGCAAAATCCACACCGCATACATCAAATGGTGGATGCTCTTGAATTCTATCAGGCGGTAAAGGGGCAACCACCTGCATTCCAGATTTCACTTTGAATCGTCTACAAATCAGACAGTTATTTAACACTTTTTTCACAAATTGACGACCTTTAACAATCCAGAATTGTTCTCGTAAATGTGTTAAAGTTGCATCAACACCTAAATGGCACATTTTAGTATGAGAATCACAGATAAGTAGTTCAACAAATTTATCATTAGATGGAAGAAGCCAAGGATGTTTGGCTCGCATATCGTTACTTGAAAACTGTAAACGTCCCTTTAAACAAAGTAAGTTATTATCATCAAGTTCAGGATTCAAATTAAATATGCGTGAACTCTTATCGATAGTTCCTTTAGAAAGAAGTTGGGTAACTTCTGTACTATAATGTTTGAATTGAGTAGCTTTGATCCAAAAACGCAAAGCTTGCTCGAGTTCTGGAGCACATATAGGTCCATTTAATTTTGTAGAATTAGGTTTAGAATTGTGCACAAACCTTTTAATCCAAGCAGTAACACGCAGTAATCTACTTAATTCGCTGAAGTCATTAACGTCCAGTAACGACGACATAGGTAAGTTTCCATTAGCTGAACTGGTTACCATGGAATTAACCAGTGCAGTCCGTCGCTCTTTCACTATAACGCGTTCATCACAGATGTCATTAAAATGTTGTAGCGATTCTTGAAGAGGCCACGAGTAAAGTGGTTTAGACAACCAAACAGGGCCTGACCACCACAGAGAACTTGTAAGAATCCTCCTAGCCGATTCTCCTCTAGTAGTAAGGTCTGCGGGATTGTCGGAGCCACTGCAATGGTTCCAACACTCTGGTAGAGTCAGCGACTGCACTTGAGCTACTCTGTTGGCGACAAATGGTTTCCATTGTTTAGAAGATCCTTTCAACCAATGAAGGACGATTTGAGAGTCGCTCCAAAAGAAAATTTGTTTCGCGAAATTAGGAAATAGACCTTGTAAATAATTTCCTAAACGTGCAGCGAGGAGAGCTGCCATTAACTCTAATCTTGCAAGAGTCAAAGTTTTTAAAGGAGCAACTTTACTTTTTGACATTATAAAGCTCACTTTGATTTGGCCATTGTAATTCACGTACCTTAGGAACGCAACAGCCCCATATGCCTTGGGACTGGCGTCACAAAACACATGAAGAGAAACTTCACTTATTTCTACACTTTCAAAAAACCTTCTTTCAATAGATACTGATCCAAGTTCACAAAGTTCAGAACACCAGGTTCTCCATTTATTTTGTAGGTCACTTGGCAAATCTTCATCCCATTGTAGACCACGTTCCCACATCTCTTGCAGAAGAATTTTCACAGTGATTACAAAGGGACTAATCAGTCCACATGGATCAAATATCTTTGAAATAACATGGTTCAAATATCTTTGAAATAACGTGACGCTTGGTGATTCTAGCATCAATGGAATCCCTAACATCTCTTAAATCTAATTTAATTTTATCCTCAATCGGATCCCACTTCAATCCCAAGAAACCTGTTCCTTGCCCGAAGTCAGTATTTTCCTCATATCCGTTTTCATTCCAAAGTTTATACAATTCTGGACAATTAGTTTTTAATTTCCTCAAATGAAATCCCGCTGCTTTTAATATCTCTATTGCCGTAGACGTCAAATGATAAGCATCTTGAACGGTATTGGCTCCATAGCAGAGATCATCAACATAAAGAAAAGAATTTAACATGTCATAACATTTTGGATGATGTTCCTTAAATTTCTTTATGTGAAATTTCAAAACGCAAGCCAAGGAAAATGGCGAAGTAGTTAGTAAAACCGAATGGGAGACGATTTAAATGAAGAGTTTCGGTTGAATCACCTACCTCTTCGGGAAACCACAAAAATTTAAGGTATTTTCTATCTTCCTCCGCAATCTCTATCATAAGAAAAGCTTTCTCTAAATCTCCGCAAAATGCAACTTGATATTCTCGAAATTTAAGAATTATGTCCAATAAATTTGCATAAAGATTTACTCCTGATTCTAGAGACTCATTAAGAGATTTATTATTTTCATTAGCCTTACTGCTACAGTCATAAACAATTCTAACTCGAGTTGTTTCCTTGTCATCCCTAATTACCGCTCTGTGGGGCATATAATATCCTGAATTTTTATCTTCATTAACACATTTTCCCACAATCTGACATTCTAACTGATCCGATATAATTTGTTTATACTGGTCATAAATTTCTTGATTTTTATTTAGTTTTTGCTTTAACGAATCAAAACGCTTTTTCGCAACCTCATAATTAGAATTCAACCCAACTGCAGGTCCCAAGTTTTCCTTCCACATCAATCTACAAACGTACCTTTCCCCATTAAATTCCAGAGAATTTTCAAATTTTTCAATCAATTGATTGTCCCATTCAGAAAAGTTTTGTTTGTCTGACTGAAATTCTTCTATTTCCCAAAATTTTTTCAAATCGCACAAAATGGAAGAAGAGTCCATGACTAAACATACATTTTCATAATTATTAGTCAATTTATTACTTCCTTCCACTCCCGCTAGTAACCAACCGAAACAAGAATTTATCGCAGTAATGTTTTCATTTAACTTTACTCTCTCGTCATAAACAATATCCCAAAATGAATCGCATCCGATAAGTATTTCCGTCTGACAGTCGCCAGAAAATGAATCAGCCAAAGGTAAACCTCTTTCCTTCAACGCATTGCGAATAGATACATCAGGAATTTTCAAGGACAAATTAGATATATAATCCGTTATGACAGCTTCTAACTCGTACGATTTCGAACTTTGATCCCTATTGCGCAACGTCAATGAAACGATACCGTATTCCTTCTCACGTGCTATTTTGTCTCCGAAAGCAAAAATAGCTATTCTTTCGTAGCGTATTGGCTTTAATTTTAATTCTTTAACTAATCGAGATGAAATAAAACTTCGATGACTACCATTGTCTAAAATAACATTAGTTAAGACTGAATTTTTATCCGAACAGGCTAAAACTGTACATGTTTGTAAAAAGGGCTTATTTTTGGTACATATATTACTATGAGACACAGAAATATTCTCGGCGCTTTTATTAGATTTAGATTGTGAGTCATTCAAAACAGTTTCGCTTTCCACTTGCTTCTCACAACCTTTCAAAGTAACATTAACGGGTTTATTTTTTCTACACACTGACTCATGATGAAAATTGCTTAAACAATTTTTACACGATATTTTTGCCCTGCATACGCGAGACATGTGATATTTTGGAAACAACACCAGCATCTAGCTTCAGTCCTAAGCTTATTTATTTTTGTTCTTCTACATCCAATTTTTTACAACTTACGGAATCGTGATGACCGTCACAGAATAAACAAACATTTTTTATTTGTGTATTTAACGCTGAAGCGGTTGATATATTTTTAGGCTTTGAATAGTTTTTCTGATAAGTTTGACCACTTTGATAATTTTGGGAAAAGGATCGTTTCGTTTCGTAACTTTTTAGGGGGCTCATCACAGTTTCGGCAATTTCCCTAGATTCGACTTCATTCCTCAAAAACGTAATAATTTCCGAAACCTCACAATTCACTTCCCTGTTTCGTTTTCGGTGAAAATCTAACACCAAATCTTGTGGTAGCAACTTCAATAATATTGGATTCAATAAATGCCCATATGAACCCTCCGTTACATTTAATGAACGCAAATTTCTTATATTAACTTCTATTTCATCGTATAATTTACGCAAACCCTTAACATTAGACGAACTTCTCACGGGTTCTAAGCTTAATAATTTAGTCATGTAAGAATTTATAATAGAATCAGTTCTACCATATCTTTGTTTTAAAAGCTCAAGACATGAGTCATAGTTTTTCTCATTTAATTCAAAACCCGCAACAACGTTATATGCAGGACCAGAAAGAAGAGATTTTAAATATTGGAATTTTTCAATTTTCGTAAGTGAATTGTTTGAACCGATTGCGCTATCAAAACAGTTTAAGAATTCCATAAATTTGCCAGAATCACCATAGAATCGCGAAATTTCTAACTTTGGTAATTTTAAAGCCGTAACGGTGTTTTCCGAAACACTAGATGTGTTAAGAACTGAAGAAGTCCGCTGAACATTTTCTGCTGCTAATTCTTTAATTTTGCTCTTTAGTTTAATCTTAGCTAACAATATTTTGTCATCGTATTCTTCCGAAGCTTTTAATTCACTTTTAAATTTTTCCGGATCGTCTATGAGTGCTTCCACCTCTAAATCATGGCTTTTCAAGATCTGCTCTTTCGTTTCTAATAGTTCCAGTAGTTCTGATAATGAACTTACGTCTTCGACAGCTTCATCGAGCTTCTGCACTCTTTTAACTAGTTTAGTAACACTAGCGCGAACGTTACTTCTTTTTTCAATTATTTTCGAAAGCTTATCCATATTAACTCAGAATTTGTGAGTTCAAAAGATCTTACCTCCACAGTCCAGTATGCAATGTTACGTATCCAAAAGCGTACGTAAAGTATCCAAACTTCTCAGAAATGTATAATCCAGTAATGATGACTAATTACTTCCGATATTCCACATTTGCGGACAAGATGCACCAATTTTGCATCTAATGGTTCTGTGAGACTAAAGGTGCATCCAAGAGATAAGAGGTTTTGTTAACAATAACATTTATTTACAAGAAAATATACGAAAATTTCAATCAATTAGAGATATATTATTAGGCATCTCTGCCTTCCACGTCTTACACCTTTAGTATCCTGCCTGCCACTGACTATTAGGACGAACGCAGCGCCCTCTAGTCAGAATGACTCCGGAAATACGTAATAATGTGTTTTAACATTAGTTTTAACATATGATAATGCAGAAGAAATTGTCATTCACCTAAATATTATTGTGAAGGCTCTCTGTTCGAATTTTATGAGCAGTAACTGTCATGGAATTGAAAACACATGGAAACTTATTTTTATTGGGATTTAGGATCTATGCAACTAAACAAAATTCAAAATTTAGTTCACATGAAAACTAAAGATCTGAGGCCTGTTTTAAAATCCAGTACAATTTAAAAATATTAAAGCACATTATTCAAAATTATATTTGTAATTTAATAACAAATGTAAACAAAACAAGAAAAATTCCATTAAACATATTCTTGAACTACAATCATAAATATTTTAAAACTGCAAGTTCATGAACATTTTGCTTCTAATTTAGGATAATATAGAATGTGGGAAAATTATTCACTATTTTAATTAAACATATTTATTTTCCTGTTATAAGAAGCAATTTTCTTAACATACTGAATTATAAAATTCTTGTTATTCAGTTAAGCATATATTTTCTGAAGTATAATTAGGCAATACACTTACTGCGATAATTTAGAAATGAGAAAATACCATCTAACCTCTTGGTAGAATGATAGTCTCTCCAACTGCCATCAACTACTACTAAATATGAGATATAACAGCAAGATCTGCATCAAAGCAGTGCCAGCTTTTATTATACCAAATGATGTGATGGTCAACTCTACTGGGAAGGTGTTGGCTGAATTTTATTTTTTGACTGTGAGGGGCCATTATTTAAGAATTAATGGTAATTACTAACCCAAGATAAGACATCATTAATGACTTAAGTAAAATGTTAACAATCAACATCTGCACATGACCACCAGAAATAGAGCCATCTCTATTATGCACAGATAACATCTAGTTACATATATTGTGACCCCATGCTGCAGACAACATAAGACCAGTATGAAGCAAGACACTACCTCTTTTTTGATGCATCATTTGACACAAATTAAATTCTTGAATATCTGAAAGTCTTCAAAGTGATATGAAAAGTGAAGCAATAAAACATGCCAAAATGCTTTGTATGAATTATGACTTTAAAGAAGCATTCTTTTACATGCATGTTTTTTAAAACATACAGCACATATAAAATTATTTTATTTGAAGGTTTGCAAAACTTATGTGCAATAAAGTTTTCAATTATGCAAAATTCTAACAAATGACTGCCGTCATCTTCAACATATATTTGCAAGGAGGCAAATGTACTCATAATCACTTTTGTAATTCACATTTAGTGAAATGTAATTAAGGCACTTATTTGGCAGAAAAAAGAAAATTAAATAAATTTCTTTTCAAATAAGAAATATAAAATATTGACTGAAAATCCCAATTTATATTTTTTACTCACTTTTTCTAGTTTAAGGTGAAAATTAAAATTCTGAGAAAGGTCTGGATGTTGAGTTTTAGTCTATGAAAACAGAATTTGAATACACATTCACTTACCAACTATTTATAATAAACCAACACAATGTTCAACATTAAAAGAGAGAGAGAGAGAGACAGAGAATTTCAAAATGTCTTCATTTACCTCTTCTTGTTTTTCAGGATAAGATTTTAAATTATCATTTGAAGTAATATGAACTGCTTGCTCAGTTGAGTTCAGTTCCTATGAGAACAAACATAAAAATTTGAAAGTACATTGCATTAATAGTAGAATACATTTTCCCTAATAAATGCTGATGATAATTAAAATTTTTATAAACAGATTCTCTTACAATTTTTGGTTTTTCAGGAGTTGAATTTAAATTCTCAGAAGTAATCTGAATTTCATCTTGAGTTTTATCCTGTAAGGGAGGATATTCATTTAGAGTATATCTTTCATGATTACAGTACTTTATCTGAATATATATCTTTCAACATAAAGATAAACAGCATTCTGAATAATCATTTACCTTTTTTTGTTTTTCAGGATCTAAATTTAAATTCTCATTAGAGGTAATCTGAACTGGACACTCAGTAGCGTTCTATGAGAAAAAGACCATAATCAACAAATTTGCAAACATAATATACACATTAATTATAAAACGTTCATTAAAATATTATCTGTTATTATTGTTTAGGACTTACATTCAAGTTCTTACTTGCAATTTGAAATAGATAATGAGTTTCTGAGAACAGAAATATTATTAGTTTTACCAATTCAATAATGCTTATTTAAAAGAGTACCCCATTTTCGTATTTCAGAAAAGGTTAGAAAGAATGACAGATTATAAAGGCAATTATTTTTATTAATTAATGCTAATTTATTGCAATATTCATACATATTACTACAGATCTCGCTGTTTGCTGAACTGATTGGCAACTGAGGCATTGTTCTGTCAGTGGAAGACTTCATTTATAACATCATAATTTAAAATTTTTTCATACCTTCCATAAATTAAAAAAACTCACTTTTACCTGTGATATTATCTGAAAATCTTTAAATTCATGCCTATTATCATCATCATTATGAAATATGAAAGCTTGCTACAAACAGGCCTGGTTGCAGCATTTTAAGCATGCAAAGCAATATGGTTGACACTCCATACAAATGAAACACATTTATAATTCAAATTGCCTTTATTTGTTCTACATGAGAAAAATATAACTGGAACTCTTCAAAAATCAGCGTGACAGATCTATGCCTGCAGAAACTTTAAAAAAAAATATTTGAAGAACTACCTTGTCATGATCTTGCAAAACTCCAAATAGATTTCATACTAAAATATTTTAAGAATACCAAGATCTTTCTGCTGCATTGATTTTAAAAAGGCTGAATCATATTTGCATTTGAGTGTAACAAAATACGGATATCCAACAACTGATCAATGGATATAAGTTTTTGAGGGAAAAGTAAGACAGAGATTTATTAAAGCTTTAATTTTTGAAAAGTTAGGAACAATAATAATAATAGACCAAACAAAATAAATCAGAAATTTACAGAAAAGTGCAATTTTCAGCGCTACCTAAGCTTAAATTAATCAGAACCTAATTCTTTCTCCTTTCTTCCTGCTATGCCAATAAAATGGAAATACTATGTGCAATTTTCTACTCCAAATATTGGCCTTAACAGTTAACAGTGCACTAATTGTGTAGAGGACTAGAAAGATAAAAAATGCTACCCCCTCCTGCTCAACAACTGACAGCCAAAAATAAAAATAATTCCCTAGACAGCAGGTGTTCACAACTGAAACAGCATACAGTTAATACAATATCATCACAGATCATGATTTCTTTGGGAAAACAAACTCAGCTAACTGGAACAAAAATAGATTTATGACACATTTAATTTGCATAGGTATTATTAAAAAGAAAAAATTAAAAAAAAAAAAGTTTTTTGAGAGTACATTTTTTTATATACAAAATCTTGATTTAAAGATAATATTACTTTTTCTTGATTTTCAGGACTTAAATGCTCATCAGAAGTAACCTGAAATGGATAGTTTCAACATATAAGACACTCAATTTGAAAATACATTTTTTGAATAGAAAAAAATCTTGATTAAAAAATAATCTTACTTTTTCTTGTTTTTCAGGTCTTAAATGTTCATCAAAAGTAACCTGAACATCAAAAGACAAAACATCAAAAGTAACCTTCTATATTGAACACAGAGTTTCAATATAGAAGATAGTACATTTGCAAATATATTTTTTCAAATATATAAAATCTTCATAAAAAATAATCTTACTTTTTCTTGTTTTTCAGGATTTAAATTCTCATCAGAAGTAACCTGAATGGGATACAGAGTTTGAACATATAAGATAGCAAATTTGGAAATACATAGTTTGAATACATAAAATCTTCATTAAAAACAATCTTACTTTTTGATTTTCAGGATTTAAATCCTTATCAAAAGTAATCTTATTTGGATACAGAGTTTAAATATAAAAGACAGCAAATTCTTACTTTTTGATTTTCAGGATTTAAATCCTTATCAAAAGTAATCTTATTTGGATACAGAGTTTAAATATAAAAGACAGCAAATTTGCATATAATTTTTTTTAATACATAAAATCTTTATTTAAAAGGAATCTTACTTTTTCTAGTTTTTCAGGACTTAAATCCTCACCAGAAGTAACCTGAATTGGATATAGAGTTTCAATATATTAGATAATAAATTTTCAGCAGATATATTTTTTGAACATATAGAATATTTATTAAGAAAAAATCTTACTTTTTCTTGTTTTTCAAAACTTAAATCTTCATCAGAAGTAACCTGAATTGAATCAGTTCAACATATAAGATAGTAAATTTGCAAATATGTTTTTAGAATACACAGAATATTCATTAAAAAACAATCTTACTTTTTCTTGTTTTTCAGATCTTAAATCCTCATCAGAAGTAATCTAAATTGGATACACAGTTTCAACATATTAGATAGTAAATTTGCAGATATATTTTTTTAATATACAGAATCTTTATTTAAAAAAGAATCTTACTTTTTCTTGTTTTTCAGAACTTAAATCCTCATCAGAAGTAACCTGAATTGGATACAGTTTCAACATATAAGATAGTAAATTTGTACATATCTTTTTAGAATACACAGAATCTTCATTAAAAAATAATCTTACTTTTTCTTGTTTCTCAGGACTTAAATACTCAACAGAAGTAACCTGAATTGGACACAATTTAAGATAGTTAATTTACAAACAAGTATAAAAAGTAAAATTTATTCAACATAAGACATAGTTTCACTTACATTTATCTCTTCGTGATTTTCAGGATCTAAACTCAAGTGCCCATTACAGGTAATTTGAACTGGATGTTGAATTTCAACCTATACGGGCAGCAGCAACTTTGTAATTATAATGTATTCGTAGTTAAATAATGTTCTTGCTACAGAATATACTAAATAAATACTAAACATGATGTAAAAGCAAATGTGGTTGAAATATCTGAATATTGCTTATTAATATCTATCAGTGTATCAACCAAACAATAGCTGTATGAGATAATTTTTAATACATTAGTAGAGCTGCCAACCTAGTATGAAAAATGGGAAGTTATTGCATAAAAACCATGAGTTTCCATTCTGTGCAAAGACACCATTTAAAAGAATTCCAAACTTACTTAAATTCACTTAGGATTCAGTTGAGTGAACAATTTATGATACAATTCTGATGTAAAATACACTTATATTTAATTACATATTCTAAATTTAATTTTTAGCAAATTCCATTTTTTAATTTTCTTACACTTTTAAAAATCTTGAATAAGAAAAGAAAGCTTCTGTTTATTAACATACATTTAAATACTGTGGAAATAAAATTAATAGTTAATTTAAATACAGCTGCATGGATAGATTTAATAATGTTTCATATGCAGATGAAAATAAATTAATACAAATATTAACCTGATTAAACATTAATCATATTTTCATAAAAACTTCTACGAATGTTACAGCAGAATAAATTAAGTCAGATGAAACATAACTTAATAAGAAAAATTATGCTAAAAAATACTATGGATGGGAGAGTGGAATTGGCACAATTTAAGTTCCCTTAATTCAATACATTCCATTATTGCTGAATACTTATAAATAAAATTAACAGAGTGAATCCAGGTGTCCTAACAGAGACTTATGGTTTTCAAACATTTATAACAGGAAAACAGTTAAGGCTAAAACAACAATACTTGCAGCAATTTCATATGACAGCACATAAATTTTTCTTCCCAGATTTTTTAGTTTTAGTTCAGAGAGATGGCACTGCAGACAGTACACCCTTAAATCACAGAAAAATAATTGAAAATCCCAACACAATTTTTCAAAATTTTTTAATGACTGAAAATTGCATTACAATATTTTTGAAATGTCCACCATCAGCCGCAATCACATGATGCAATCGAAGGATGAAATTAACAGAAATTTTCTGTAAAGTGGCCAATGGAATGGCTGCACATCTGTCACTTGCCACAATATTTCTTCTGAAGCATTGTTGAAATATATTATATGGCTATCAAAATATTTCTCTAAGAAACTGACAACTACAGCAATCCAGTGAGGCCTCATACAATCTTGCATGAACCAGGATAATGTGCAAGATTCGACCAAAGCATTTTCAATGGCAATAAAAACGTGCAAAATTTGATCATATCATTCTGAAGTCATTGCATTATATCGAAAAAAGGATCCAATTATACCTCTTCTGGAAACAGTTACCCATACAGTTATTTTTTTAGAGTAGAGTGATTGTGAAACACACATTTTAAGGATCTCAGTTTATTAAATATGGCAGTTTTGCTTACTGATGAATCCATCGAGATGGAAATGCACTTCATCTGAAAATCATATAGAATTCACATCAACTGTTTCCAGCATTTCATCCATAAACACGTACCTTTTCTGTACAGATATGGTATAAAGCGGTTGCTGTGATTGAATTTTATACAGGAATAAGGACAGACTCTTAGCCATTATGTTATATGCCCCTGTTTTGCCCAAATGAAGACTAATTTTCAAGGGGCATGCACATGTGTTCTTATCAACCTGTACATTTACTTGTATGACAACCGATATTTTTCTACTGCTGAGATTTAAAATGCTCCGAAAAGGCTAGAAATAGCTGATGCATTAGCTTCAATTGAAGAATTACCTTCAGATCCATTATCAGTGGTCTCTGAGGATGAAAGTGATGGAGAGAGAAAATACTTCTTTACTCCCTTCTTTCCTGCTTATGGCAATACAGAAGATGAAAGTAATGATCAGTCAGAAAATGATAAATTTATCAGGTTCTTTCGGAATCGCAGAAGTTAAGAGGAATAAAACATACAATGTAGTTAAATCAATTCCTGAATTTTCTGAAGATTATGTCACAAGTGAAGAAATTAAACTCCCAAGTTATCAGGATCAACTAATGAAATACTGAATGAATGTGTAGCAAGGTAAATGGCAATAAAGAAGTTTTCATGGATTTTAGACAATTTGCATTTAAATGATAACTGCCAAAAAAGAGGGGACAAAACCTTTGACAAACTTTGTAAAGTTTGGCCTTTACTCACTCATTTATCGGAATGATTCAATATTCTGTTTAAAACAGGAAAGAAAAAAAAAAAAAAAAAAAAAAAGCTGATTGAGGAATCAATGACTTGTTTAAAAGGTAGAATTTCACGAAAACAATACTTGACTAAAAAATTAATAAAATACGGATATAAAGTACAGATGCATTGCAATGAAAGTAGCTATGCTTGTAAATTTGTAATTTATACACGTAAAATTAAAATTTATCATTAAGCACAAAAAAATCAACTTTCTATTTTATTACATTGTTTCTGGATAAAATCTCACTAGATTTTCAATGTTTTCACAAATTAATATTTTTTGAAATGAAGCAAATTTTTAAAATGTATTTATTTGAGCTTATTTCATATCTTCTAATAGATTTCCATTTTTTGACTAAATGTATAATGGATCTTAAATAATACAAAATTATGCACAACTGCTTTTTAAGAACCATGCAATTATTTCACGAAAAAGCACAGCCACTACACACTAAAATCTGAGTGAAAGAGTGGTGAAACCTTGTTTGGTAAAAATCATAGGGTACACAAGTACAAATATTTTACATCTTATGAACTTTTCAAGTTTCTGGAAATGAAAACTGTATTTTGTCGTGAAAATGTAAATAAAAAAAATTATATATTTTTTTCAAATGTTCCACACACTGCTATGTAAGTCACTTTTCAAGCTGCCATGTAGTGATGAAAGCAAAAAATGATTCACCAGGTTGGCATCAGGGACATAAGTTACTTTCATTATGTGTAAAATCATTGATGAAGCAGAGTGTTTTAGTTTGAGATGTATGTCAAGTAAAATGGCAGCTACAAAGCCAAATTGCTGATAATAAAGATTTATCCTAATAAATGACTGTGCTTTATTTAGTGCTGAAGCTAAATAAGAATCCCTAAAAAATTGTCTACTGTGCATGTGTGAAGCAAGATACCACTCTAAGCAAAAACATTATATATATATATATATTAAAAAAAAAAAAAAAAAAAAGGTTTGTGATCTGGAGGTCTGGATATTAGATCATTCAGGATATTGGACATTTAGATTTTGGATTTTATAGTGTAAAGATTACAAGATCAAAACTAATTTAAAAATAAAAATACTTATAATTTTAAACAAGGCTGAAGTTTATTTCATAATGCAAATAAATCTTGGCCAGCATGAAATATAGACCTGCATTTATTCCTAACCAATGCCTAATAATTTTAATATCACAAAATATTTCATCAGCTTTATATTTAAAATATTTTATTAATATAAAAAATCCATATTTAATTGATTTACTTCTGCTTCTTTTAATTTTCCATCTTCAGTACATTCCTTCATATCTTTTTCAGCAGATCCTAATGTTCTATTTTGATAACCTTCTAAAAGAGCTTGATTTTCAGCCTGTTAGATAGTTCAAAATTTTAAGAGATTTTACATTATTTCTATAAAATTCAAATTTATCATAAGCACAAAAAAATCAACTTTCTATTTTATTACATTGTTTCTGGATAAAATCTCACTAGATTTTCAATGTTTCTAATTTTTGACAAATTAATATTTTTTGAAATGAAGCAAATTTTAAAATCTATTTACCTCAGCTTATTTCATATCTTCTAATAATTTTCCACTTTTAGACTATTAAAAAAGTGTATAATGGATCTTAAATAATACAAAATTATGCACAACACATAACTGCTTTTTAAGAAGCATGCAACTATTTCAAGAGAAAGCACAGCCAGTACACACTGTACATGTAATATATATACATATAAGAAAAGTTGTGAGAAAAATACAAAAGACCAATTTTGGCCAAAAATTTTTTTTGCGCAATGTGCTGCAAAATTAAGGAAATGAGAAGATAAATTGTAGTAAGCTCGCCAAAAAGTTACCAAAAGCAGTCGCTCCAAGAAAACTCCAACATAAGCATATTCAGTAGTTATGAATAGTGTGAAAAAGAAAAAAAATTTTATATTTACAAGTTCGAATAATAAAAGCTATATGCTAAATATTTTCGGAAATTTTAACACACTATTAAAAAAACAAATCAATTGAATCAGGTAATATATTAGGATATATGCGAAATAAAAAGTAAATTATAAAAACACAGTAAAATACTAATCAATGGAACAAGTTAAAGGCAAAAAAATATATTAGAATTAAAAATTAAAAAGCAGAAAATGGTTAATTAGCCCAATTCAAGGTCCATTCTGGCTTTTCAAGGGAAATTTCTAAATGAACATCGAACTAAGCTAACTCCATTAAGCTTTTCCCGAAACAGACAATTGAAACTTAGCATTACAAAATTTTTTAATTAATTAAATAAACTGTTCAAAAAAATTTTTTTAGTCTCAATTCTCTGTTCCAATTTCCCGACGCGTCCGCATATATTGACACATTAAGGTGTAAAAAAATGTAAATGCAATTCCGATGTACAGCAATAATAAAAATTAAAATAAATAGTGGTATGCTATTAGTCAAAATATACAATAACGTACGGGCTGGACCTGCAAGCTTAAAGAATTAAAACTTTACAAACGAACCTGAAATTAAATTTAAAGGAAAAAATAAACTGACAAACAGCGTAGGTCTTGCTAAGACCAAGAAAAAACTTTTAGAGAAATATTAAAAAATCAGACCTGTAGCAATGCTGTCTTCTCTGGTGATGAGGAAACTAAAAAGGGGTTGTACTTCCCCTCTGCGCATTTCATTGCTCTCCAACTTGTCGTGTGACGTAGGATGAGGGAAACAATGTAACTGGGCAATAGCCAATGTCAAGAGACTGTCTGTTGAGGGAACCTGCCTATAGCCAAAGGGGGGGGGTGAAAGACGTGGAAAATGTTCAAAATGGTATTTGTCAAGTAGTTTTAAGAAGGACTGGGCAAAAGTGAAAATAGCTAAAAAAACCTAAAATGGCCTCTAAAGTAAGAGAAAAATGGAAAAAATAGTAATTTGTTAATGAAAGTCATAATTCTTCAAGCTAGAGGGCGATCCAGCTGCACGAAACAAAAAGGCCTGTTTGTTAATAATAGTAGAAGAATTGGCCATTAAAGTGATTTAAAACTATTTAAAAATAGTATTAAAAGTATTGCGCCAAATTTTTTGGAGGAAAGAAAATGTAGTGACAAGAATTATCTGTACATTTATACTGTCCCATTGGGCTTTAAGTATAAAATATCTAAAAATTGGTAAGGCTAATGCCAGCTTTTTTTAAGGTATTTTTATTACTTTTTGAGGAATGAAGTTATTTTTCAAGATTGTCACGAAATATAGTATTTTTTCTTGAAGGTGTTTTACTGTATTGCAAATTCTTTTAATTCTAAGCAGCTGTGAATAAATTGTGTTGAGGATGACTCTTTTGGAAATATTTGAATTCCAGTTGGTTAATTTGAGTGTTGAAAAATTGAATTCTCTTCTTTTGTCGTATACTTTTAATAAATTGTAATCAATAATATGTAAATCAAGGTAGACTATATTATTTTTCAACATATTTGTATTATTAAGTTTTAGGCATGAAGGGTAGATATTAGCATTTTCTATCTTGTTGAAGTTGTTAAAGGCAATTACATCATCAATATATCGAAAGATGTGTTGGTAAAATTTATGTTTTTCCTTACTGAAAGAGCGTATAAAGGTCAATTCATTTGTAAAAAGGAATAATTCACAGACTGAACTTGAAAAATTACCTCCCATTGGAATTCCCTGTATTTGTTTAAAGATGTTATTGTTAAACTGAATAAAATTATTGAAAAGTACGCATGATAGAAAAAGTTACCATAGTTCAGTATTTATTATTATAGAAATTTGTGGAAAAAAATCAGGAAGAGCAAGTAAACTTTAATAAATTTCTTCAAGTGGTAAAGTAGTATAGAGGTTTTCAAAGTCCTAGCATTGGATATGTTCTATTTTAAGTGTATTTACAGTTTTTAGAACTTGAAATCATCCAGTTACAATGTAGATCCTTAAAATCATAGTTATTAATGAGGTCACGTATTAGGCGTAGTTATTGTGAAAATAGATAATCTATTTCTTTAAGATAACTTTTGGTACTATTGGCAATGAACCTAAATTTGATCAGAGACTTATGAAATTTTGGTAGTGCATAGAAATTTGCAAATCTATTATATTTCCGGGGATGTATTTTAAGTCTCTTATGTAGTGCACTAAATTTATTAAGAATCTTAGTGCTGGTAGTAATCTTTTTGTAGGCGCAAGTGTTATTCAATTCATTATGCAGAAGGTCGAAATAAAACTTTTTTCAAATAACACTAAAATTGTTGCTAGCTTTGTCAATCTTTGTGATGATAAAGTAATCTTGCAGTTTCTGAATAAGATTTTTTAGAAGCTTTTTATTGTGCAAAGAATTGAAATTGGGCAACTTCAAAAGCAAAAATTGAAATTCTTTAATTAGTGCAGCTTTCCATTCAAGAAAAGTAGTACTAGGTAAATTGGATCTATTACTAGCTAAAATGATAAATTTATCAAGATCATTATTGAATTGTTTTAGGCAAAAGTGCTTATTAATACTGAAAGTAGGACGAAATTTAGTGCCAAGTTGCATAAGGGCACGCAATTTTAGGTCTTCAATGATACTGAGATCTCCTGTAACAACATGTTGGTGATAAGGATCTACATATTTATTGTAAATAGAAAGTTGGCAATTACATATGTTATCTTCTTGAATAATGTGGTGGTTGATAACTAGTTGACCTAAGGTCTTTTCAAATTTAAAACAGGGCTTAATTTGAAGTTGTTAGTCAGGTAGCAAGTGTTGATATTTTTTAAATATGCTTGGAATTTTTAACTGATCATAAGAGGGGTGCTTGAACTGTATAGTACAAAATTTTTTTTTGTGAAAAAAATTACTATTCTTTAGTTTAAAATTGCAAAAGTCTATTATCAGATGTTTGACTATTTGGAAACATTGAGACTGTTGATCAATTATTTTAATAAGATTCCATAAGGTAGTATTCTTAAAGGTATGAAGAAGTTTTATGGCATTTTTAACGAATTCTTTATGTTCAAGGTAGGAATTTAGATTTTTAACAATTAATTTCAGATCTTGTGTTGAAAAAAATTTTTTGTTTTTAGAATTACCTCCTCTTGATCCTCTGGTTTTCTGGCATTTTTAACGAATTCTTTATGTTCAAAGTAGGAATTTAGATTTTTAACAATTAATTTCAGATCTTGTGTTGAAAAAAATTTTTTGTTTTTAGAATTACCTCCTCTTGATCCTCTGGTAGTAATATTGCTAAAAAATCTGAATTGTCCATTTGTTAATGAAATTCATAATTCTTCAAGCTGGAGGGTGATCAAGCTGCACGAAACGAAAAGGCCCGTTTGTTAATAATAATAGTAGAATTGGCCATTAAAGTAATTTAAAACGATTTAAAAACTATTTAAAAGTATTGTGCCAAATTTTTTGGAGGAAAGAAAACCTAGTGACAAGAATGGTTTATTTTATTCAATTTATTCAAGACAAATGCATTACTTGCCAGTGGTTTTCTATTTTGAGATAAAAATATCTATTGCCAATCTTAAAAGAAAGATACATTTAAATACCATTGTGCGCAACTTCACTTCCACAAAATTTTAATTTTCCTAATGCAACATTTTCAGCACTCAAATACAATGCATTAAAATAACTTACACTTTCTTGCTTTCTATATGAATTCAAGCTTTTTTCATCAGTAAAATCATCTTCATTCTATGGAGGGAAGGGAACAGCAATTAAAATTTGTCAAAATTTAAAAAAAAAGTACATTTTACAATCAAATACCTCATTCATAATTTCTTCTGAACAGTTTGTTATAATAGTAAGCAAAATACGATATCAATTTTTTTGTTGTGCTTAAAAAGAGCATTTTGCATCAGTTATTCGTTTTCATTTTTAATAAATTGTTTTGCTTAGCTAACAGTTTATGGTTAATAATTTTTAATTAAAACTACATTTTAAAACTATTATTTATCTTTACAGAATATTAGTATAACAAAACAAAGTAATGAATAATAAAGAAAAAAGATTAAAATGTTTTTACAATATCACGTAGCAACATACATGGTATGACATGAACAAAGTAAGACACAATTTTTAGAAAACTGCACTTTCTTGCATTTAGAAAAATCACAATAACTACAGAACTGTTCTTTTCAGGAAATTCTAGGAATAAATTAAAATTTCATCAGAATAACTGATTTTAAAAGAAGCAATTAGAAATTGAAATCAATAAAAAACTGCAAATAATTTTTCCCCATAAAAAGCAGAATATTGCTATTAATATATTAAATTCCTTTCAAGTGGCATAACATATAAAAAATTACCTCACTTTCACTTTCATCTTCAGACTCAGAAGCTTCTATTAAATCTGGAACATCCTGCAAATAAAAAAAAAAAATAAATAAATAAATAAATAAAAAAATAAAAAAATTCAGTAACATAATTCAGATGTTTATCTTAATGAATTGGAATAAAAGAAGAAATATTCATATCTATAAACATGCTATATTTTGGCAAGCATACCAAGGAATGGCAATTAATGTTTCTCACATTTACATCTAAATAAATACACATACTTTTGTCATCGAGCACTGATTGGTTTACTATGCATTGATTCTTTAAAATTCATCTCGGATGTGTCTTTTACTGATCACAATTAACATTTCTTTAATTTTTGCTCTATATTGAACAAATTAACTGAACTGAAATGCAATTAAAAGGATTTAAACCTATACATTCCTTATTACTAAATAAGCAATTAAAATATTATAAATATTGCAAGCAAAATGGCAATTCATCCACCCATATTTACATTTCAATTTTAATGAAAATGTTTGTTCATCATATTCTTATTCTTTAAAAATAATTTCAGTAGTATTGTATATTGATTATTCTTTAGACAATACTTTAAATTCCTCATTAATTTCATTTCTTAGCCTAAAAAGGTAAACAATCTAAGTAACCTTAATCAGTTTTTTAGTCCATGATAATGTTCTTTCCCTAATTGTGTATGCAATATATTTGTTCACTGTTACAAGCTTTTAAAACGTTTTTTGAATAGCAAAAACTGCTATGAATTATGAAAATTTAACAAAAATTTTTAATGAATGAAATTTGGTTTACCATAAATTTATCTCATTCCCTGAAACAGAGATAAATACATTATTAAAATCCCCGCTGCTCTAAATAAATTACAAAACACGCTTCAGAAAAACCTACAGTCAATGACAGGTTTAAATTTTTCCTTACCTCACTAACTACTTGTACAGATGTTGGTATATGGTGGCAAAAAATGTTATAGTTTACAAGGAGTAAAAAGTTTCCAGATTTTGAAAACGTATGCTTAATATACTCTTTACAAAAGATATTTTAACATAACATTAACCTTTTCAAACTGCTCATTAACCCTCTGAGCAGCCAGGGTTTTCGCTACGAAAGCACAAATTTCCCAAAACTACTACGAGAACAAATTATTTTTGTGAGTTTAATATAAAAACGCTCCTGGTATTTCATACCCGGATTTGTTTTCTTTTGATATATTGCCTTAATTTCTTTGACATATTTTAATATGCATGCATATATACATTCTTAGAGATATCACAAAAATATTCTAGAATGAATATATATATATATATATATATATATATATATATACGGCCTTGCCACTTAGAGGTTTAAGGAAACCAGGAAACTTTAATGTTTTAAATAGTGTGATATAATAAATTTTAATGTGCTTCATGTTATGACCACTCAGTGGGAATGTTAACATTTCTTGCTCCTATTTTCTCTTGTGCAAATAAAGTCATTTAAATACAGAGGATTATTATTATGACACCTCGATATATATATATACGTGATGTTACGGCAGTCATGGCACCTGAATGACAAGGCTTGGCATCAAAGTCCAGGCATTTCTGTAGCAGAGTGTTAAGGCGGTATCCAAAAAAGACACAAGTGTGATGTATGGGGTGACGTCAACCAACAAGATGTATAAAGGGCGCTGGCTCTTAATCTAAAGGCACGAAAGTTTTAGTTTCCAAGAGGGAGACCGACAGAGAGGTCATAGGGAAGGCTTATGGAAGCCATTAATGAAACCGAAATTCACTTTTATTACTTTATATATTTCAGTTATTAGTATTGTAGCTTAGTATTAGTTTTGTATTTGTGTATAAATGTTAAAAATATAAGAAGGTGGAATTATTTCTCTATGAGGCGGCGGATGAAGAGAGGGATGATATCACAAGCCCTCTCTCACTCGAAAACCAGAGCTTTAGATGACGGTAGAGAAACTAGAGAAAACTCAGAAGAGAAGCAGGTAGGAAGCTTTTGATTTTATTTTACTCAAAAGTATAGATGTATTGAAGATATATATATATATATGTATGTATGTATGGTATATATAAATTAAAATGTATAAGAAATACTAAGAAAGAAGACTTTAGTAAACCTTCTTGGTGAAATTGAAGATACACCAACCGTTGGTTTAACAGTGGTTCAACTAAAAGGTAAAATGAGGACAGTAAAATATTTAAAGATGATCCAGAATTTGTAAATTGGATTATTAAACTCAATAGTTGAGGAAAGAAAAATTAGAGAAGAAAATGAAATGAAAAGCTAGGGATACACAGTTAGCCTTAGAAGCTCAAAAGAAAATGTGAAAGCTGAACACAGTTAGCTTAGAAGCTCAAAAATTAAAATGAAATAAAAGCGGGATACACAGTTAGCTAGAAACTCAAAAAGTTGAACTTGAAAATTAAAATTAGCGCAGCTAGAGAAAGAATTAAAATTGGAAAAAAGTTAGAAGTCAGAATACAGCTAAAGATGGATCTTGCGCAGATAAAGACATGATTACAGGTTCGGGAAATTATTTAGAAAATTTGATAAAGAGTGTTAAAACATTAACTATTCCTGTTTCGGAAAGACTGGAAAACTTCAATTGTTTTTTTCAAACAGTAGAGAGAGCATTCATAACAAAAAATGTACCACAGGAGCTCAAATCCGAAATTTTGATTAACATTTTAGGGGATAAAGCAACTAACATATTATTTTACACTAATGATGAAGAACTAAAATATTATGAAACCATTAAAAAACTAGTATTAAGAGAATATCAACCAACTGCTTATGAATGTTTAATGAATTTCCGAAGAAGATGACGCAATCCTAAAGAGTCACATGTTCAGTTCTCATCTAGACTGTCTGCAAATTTCCAATATTACTGTCAATTACGTGAAGTTAATGACTTTGATACACTTTGTCAACTAATGATTTCCGACAAACTTTTCCAATCGTTAGATAAAGAAACGGCAACTTACATTAATATTAAAACAGGAGAAAATTGGTTAAAACCTAAGGATTTAACTAAAGAAGCTGACCTATATTTCGTAAACAAAGGCAAATCATTAAACAAAACCACGTTTAACTTTAATGAAAACACAGCTAAATCGTCCCACTCGAATCGAAATCAAAGAGAATCGAAATATATTCTGCCTCATATGAGAAGCAACATGAATAAAAATAAATATCCACCCAAAGACTGTTACATATGTGGAAAATTAACGCATCTTGCTGAATCTTGTCCACAAAGGAACAAATCGGTAACACAAAATCTTCCTCTAAAAAAAGAAACACCAGAGAAAAATACTAGGGATAAAGTAATAGCAAAAATCGGATCCTCATGCTTGTCAAATGAAATTTTTACGCAACCATGGCAAAAGGTAAATATTTATGTTGCAGGTAACGAAATCCAAGCCATAACTGATTCGGGTGCTGAGATTTCTGTTATAAATCCATAGAAATATGAAACACATATCAAATTTCTCTATTGAGAACAACTGTAATATTCACCTAATTTCTGCATTCAGAGAAACCACATCAGCTAAAGTGGCTAGAATTCCTATATCCATCACAAATGCTGATAACCCTAATTTATTGAAACCTGTCGAAATATTAGTAGCTTTAACAGAAAAACTTAACATTCCCTGCGTAATTACTCCAAATGTTTATGATTTATTGACCTCTGAATCACATCTGCTTAGCACGAATCGTGCGACACAGTGTCTCTATCGCAGATACCGGAAGTGAGGAGTCATCAGTCAAAACAATTCGAAGGCGAAAGACAAGCTGATTTATTTATGACAGGAGGAGAGCAAAATGTAGCAAAAGTTGCATTCAGGATGAAAACGAAAGTGAGGTGGGTCAACATTCGGATACCAGTATTTTTAAACAACAGCAGAGGGAATGTGAGACATTATGCAATATCTATAAAAAATAAATATTTTTCAATGGATGATCTGATTTATCATACCGAAAGAATTTCGCGCAAAGAAATAAAAATAAATATTTTTCAATAGGATGATCTTGATTTATCATACTGAAAGAATTTCCGGAGAACAAGTTAGTCAATTGGTATTACCTAAAGTTAGAAGGGAACAAATTTTAAAATTAGCTCACAAATCCATTTCTGAAAATCCATTAGGGATGACAAAAGAAAAGGAAAACAAAAGAAAAGATTCGTTATTCATTTCATTGGCCAAACATGTCACGAGATATTGAAGAATATTGTAAAACTTGTAAGGAATGTCAATTATGAAGTAGAGAAAGAACCAATGATCGTATACTCATAGTTCCAGTTCAGCAACCTGAGTTTCCATTCGACACAGTGAATGTAGATATAATCGGTCCAATTGAACCTCCATCAGCTCGTAAACACAAAGATGTACTATGTTTAGTTGACTAACATTCTAGGTGGCCAGAAGCTGTCCCTTAGAGAACATTTACAGCAAAATCAACATGCGATGCATTATTAGAAATCTTTATGAGAACGGGCATACCTCGGGTAATAGCTAGCGATCAAGGTACCAATTTTGTTGCAGAATTAACACAAGAATTTAATGCCAGATCAGGAGCAAGTCCTAGATTTGCAACGCCAGGACATCCACAAAGTTCGGGATTAGTTGAACGGTATAACCAAGTTCTAAATCAATAACGTATGCTTCATCATATCATTAGAAATGACTCTAAAAAATTGGGACAAACACATACCATACCTGTTATTCGCTTACGCAAAAATTCCAAATTGTACTACGGGAGCAGTATCCCCCATTTAAATTAATGTATGGAAGAGAGGCCAGAGGTCCGTTGTCAGTATTAAAATCGTCATAGTCAGGAGAAATTCCATTACCAATAAAATTGTGTAAAAGTGCTGTTGATTATCTACAGGAGCTAAAAATGAATTTAGAAAATAGCAGCAGAGCAAGCATCTATAATTGCAGAATTGAAACAAGGTGCATATGCAAGATATGCTAATCGAAGGGCTATATATAAAGAATTCAATCCTGAAGATCAAGTGTACCTGCTGATTCCAGATTCCAGTAAT